TGAATGAATGAATGAACAAACGAATGAATGAATGAATGAATGAATGAATGAATGAATGAATGAATGAATGAATGAATGAATGAGGTTGATTTCTGGAGATGGAGAATGCTCTACGTGGCAAAATCTGCTTCATCTCAGAAGCCAGTTCAGACAAAAGGGAGAGAATCAAATCACAAGGTTGCGCATAAGTAGCCAAAGCATGAACGTGTCTGAATGCACAACAGGAACCCCTGCTGCAAACCTGTTTTCAAGTTTTGGGCTGACTCTACACCCACAAATTGAGTTATTGCTCTTCCTAGGAGAGAGATGTATGCCAAAGAGGGAGGTGAGTGATGAACATCTCTGAACGTGGGCAGAGATTTTGGAGAACACACAAGCAAGCAGCAGCACCAGCAGGAATAGGTGGCTGGTTTTGAGGGGTGACTTCAAATTAAGAGTATCTGGCCTGCCAAAGTCCAGTCTATTTAAATACCAGATGGCTTGCCTGTGTTTTCTACTGCAGAGTAAGATTTTTCAAAAAAGACACCTTCAGCTTCCAGTGCTTTGTTCCATGAAGGAAATGGACCCTTGAAAACACTTTCTCAATTGCTGTTGCAGAAAGGAGCAGAGACTGTTCTGACAGGACAGGGTGGCAGGTTCTACAAAACCTGTTAAAATTAACCTCCTGTCTAAATAAGGTCTTTATTTAAAAGTATCTGTCTAGTGCTTCTCATTGCACAGAACCTCAAAACTGTGGACAAATCTATTAAGAAGCAGAACTGAAAGCCATCCATTTAAAAAAAAAAAAAAAAAAACCTTGGGAGGGGTTTTACTCATGCAGCTGGCTAGGGGTGCCCATGGGATGTGGTCAGAAGAGTCAAGATGGCAGCCACAATGGTGCACTTGAAGTTCTGCCCATTTTTAAATGCATTATACGTGTGGTGTACATAAAAAACAGGCAGAGCTTCAATTGCACCATTGTGGCTGCCACCTTGACTCTTTTGTTCATACCCCACAGGCACTCCTGTGGCTGGCTGTGAAGACACAGCCTCCACCACCTGAAAGTGGTACGGCCCTGCCCCTAGCACTGCTTGGCCCAGCCTCACCTTTGCGCCCAACTCCATTCACTGCCCAGTCGTCTGCCTGCAGGTGAGCTGGGCTGGAAGCTCTCACCACCAGGTGCTGCATGTCTCTCCAGGTCAGAACTGGGCTAGAAACACAAGGTGGGTGTGGGGGAAGAAAACCATTCAGACTTCTGCTATAAAAAGCACCCTGCAAGGTGGGTAGCCGGCAGGTCCTCTGGTCTTCATCTCCAGGCTCTCGCTCTCACCTTTGGGGCTACCATGGAATGAGAGGGCCTTCCCTCCCTGAGGGGGTTGGAAAAGAGCAATCCCAAACTGACTCACAGGAAGAGCCCTGCACAGAGACTTGCTGGGAGAGGGCCCCTCCAAAAGAAACTGTGTGCTTCCTGCTTCAGGAGCAGCGTTGAACCCCAAGTTCCTCTGTGAATCTGTGATCTTGGCTTGGCTAAGAAGCCAGCATTTGGGGGTCTCCTGCTCCTTCAAACTGTTTCCTTCCAGAAGGCCAGTCTAGGCCAGTGTTTTTCAAGCTTGGCCACTTTAAAGTGTGTGGACTTCAACTCCCAGAACTCCCCAGCTAGCTGGGGAATTCTGGGAATCAAAGTCCATACATAAAGTGGCCAAGCTTGAAAAATACTGCCTAGGCCCTTTTAAATCCAAGCATCTTGCTTGCCCTCTCCCCCAGCTTCTTTTTTCCCTTTCAGGTTGTGTCTTCAAGGGCAGTGGCAATTTAAATCAATTTAGATCAATTCAAATTAGGCACCACCCGACTTTGGATGACCCTGGGCGGCTCACAACGAGACACCAATAAAACACAATATGAATACTAAAAATGAAAATTGGCCAGCCACCCACAAAAGATATCTCATAAAGGGCTCAGTCCAGCCTAGCCCCAAAAGCCTCCTGGGCCTTTTCGAATGTCGTCAGGATGAGAGCCACGTGGACATCAGCAGGGACGTCATTCCAAGTGATCTTCTTGAACGTGATGCGTGCCCTAACAGCCTCCCCAGGCAATGAACCGAGTGTAAACGCTCAGATTTTTAAAAAAGATGTCTTAGTCTGGTGCCATTTGTCTCTGGGCACAAATGGTTCACCACAGGGAGGGCACCACCAAAAAGACCCTGCATCGGAGAACTCAAAGGGAAAAGTACCTAGATAATGTTTTTTGACACCCATCTTAAACAATAGCAGTTGGATTTATAAAGAAGCAGAGAAAGAGGCTGGCTTTGTGACACTCTCCTGACCAATATTAACTTCGCTGGACAACAAGGGGTTTGGCTACTGCCTTTGCAAAACATAAGCTGTTGCTTTCAAAGCTTCTTTGGGGACTGTGAGGACTAGCGACTTGCTCTTCTCCAAGGAAAAGGAAAGGCAGCCCTGAAAAGATCCCCTAAAATGCCACTGCTGCTAGTTGGTCCTGGCACTTACTTGGCCTCCAAAGCAAGGGCTATCAGGCCAGCTGCCAGGGGAGCCGAGGCAGAGGTGCCCGTATGACTGCCTGTGCAGGCGTGTCGCAAGTCTGTGGTCACCTGGACAGGGAATTGAACCAATAGAAGAGAACATATGTAGCTCAGGGTTGAACTGCAGAGTCCTCGGGGTTCTTTGAGCTTGGCTGTTTTCTTGCAAACGTTTCATTACCCGGCCAGGTAACATCTTCAGTGCTAGAAGGGAGTGGGGTTTGCTCTCTGTTTAACCCTAACCCTAACCAGAGAGCAAACTCCATCCCATTCTAGCACTGAAGATGTTGCCTAGCTGGGTAATGAAACATTTGCAAGGTAACAACCAAGCTCAGAGAACCCCGAGGACTCCAGAGAATTGAACAGCATTGAAGGCCCACATTAAGCCCTCCTCCCCATTTCCAAGCCTGTGCCTTGTCCCCCTGAGCATCTAGTCCTCAGGATCCGATTACCTCTCCCCCACTTGCTCAGCAGCCGCGCTACCACCCGTCTTTCTCCCACCATCCCTCTTCCTGCAATCATTGCATAGGAGTCAGACATAACTGCACAGGACTTTCTCAGGGTTGCCAAGTAAAAGGGCCGGAGAGGGCGCCAACAAGTACAATAGGCTTCATTTGAAAACCTATTTGTGGAGCATCCAATTTCTGTGCCTGCTTCTCTGGACAAATATTTGCCTCACTTGACTCTGCTAGAAGAGGGCCAGGTTGCATCGGAGGCTGAAAGGCACGCTCAATGGACTGAATAAATGTTAAATTATCCTATTTGCTGCCCGCAAATATTGGGGGTGGGGGGATTCCAGTAACATGTTTAATTTGAGGAACAGAATCTTCACAGCTTCTTGGTGAAATTATGACCCGGGCCCATGAGGGCCATTTGCACATCACTGTTTCCAGGGCTGTTGTCCTGGGCTGGGCCAGCGGGGAAACCATCAGGGGGGTCTGCAGGGAGGATAAAAAAAAGTCAAGATGTGGCCATAATGGTAGCCCCACTCCTTCGGCATACATAAAAAGAGGGTGGGGCCTTGGTCCCAAGGTGGCAGCTGCCCTCTTGACTTTTCTGACTCCTCCTACAGACCCCCGTTTCCTGCTAGTGCCACAGAGGACAAAGCACGCATGCACTTGACTGTCACAGGGCCAGCACTGCCACCCCTTCCACTAATCTCTTTCAAGGCCAGCCCACCCCCAGCTTTCCCCCGAACCCAACAGAATCGAGGAAAAGCTGCACTTTTGTAGGAATACAGCCTGCCAGTGAACTTTCATGCAGGCCTCCTTCAGAAGCTGGAGGCGAGGGGATTGAAAGCTTCCTGGCTGTTAGATACACGCAGCAGCCACAGGAAAAGTGACAGAAATCCACTAAATGACGCAGAGGAAACCTGTCTGCAGGAATGCGATAGCAAGAGTTCACTGGGCCAAGAGGCACACTGTGATTATCGCCTTATGTGCCAGCAGAGGCTGCTGGTAGGTTACACACACTCCTGCTAAATCAGACCTGGGGCTCAAGTGGTCCAGCCTTCTCAGCCCACGGTGGCAAGCCACTCTGGTGCCCAGATGGGGAGAGGCCAAGGGGGTCGGAATTGCAACACCAAATGGGATGGAAATGGGGAGGGAAAGCTCAGGCATTCATAGAAGTTTTTTGGGGGGGAGGAGAGGGTCCCTTCCACTGGAAGGAAACCAAGCCTATTTCTGCGAGCGCGCAGCTGCTGTTCCACGTAGCCCTCCCCTGCCCCCAGCAATCTCAGGGCAGGGAAGACGCAGCCCCCCCGCCCCCATCCAAGAGCCTCACAATCTGCTTCTCGCCCTTGGCCCCGCTGCTGTAGGTGGTGGTGAGGGTGGAGGCACAGGCCTCATTGTACCAAGGCACCCTGCCGTTCTCGGTGGCGCTGCCCACGGATAAGGTGTAGATGCTGTTGGTGTAGCCATCGCAGTTGCAGTCGTCCTTCCGAAGGCCACCGTTCCCCGAGGCCCAGACGAACAGAGAGCCCAGCCCTCCACGTCCCTGCGGGGAGAAGACAGGCAGGGGAATCCCCAGCCAAACATTACTGCTGAGATGGGAGGGGGAGATTTACCCCACCAGAGGCCTCCCGTCCTCCAGATGCGACTCTTTGGGGCTAAAAGTCTTTTCGCTAATACGGGAAAAAGCAGAACAGGCTGAAAACGAGACGCACGAATAGAGACTGAATTGTCCCACTTCCCTTTCAGGGTTCTCACTCTCCTCATCCAGCAAAAGGGCCGTGAAGACTCCCGGAGCTCTGCTCAAGGAAAGTGCTGGGGTCCGGCTGATTGAAAGAAGACCCTTTTCTATCTGACCTCAAGGGCGTTTTTGCTTCGTTAAATGAACTCCAGATTCCCCCAAGTTCGTTTTAGATGACTGCATTTTAGAACACGGTACGGTAGCTGCAGCAGCCGATTCCCCGTGTCCCCACTCCTAAAAAGCTAAATGGGATCGAGGCAGTCTGGCTAGTACTGGGATGGGGGACCACAGAGAAAAGCCAGAGCTTCTGTATTGTTGGCAAGAAAATGTTACGACTTATCCCTGTTGCCCCAGGAGGGGAGCTCAACTTGAGAGAGTTGAGAGAGTTATGTTAACATGTCATAATTTTAGGGGCAGCAGGAAGAAGAGAAATCATGGTGTGAACGCTGCTGCTCACAGAAACAGAACATGAGATTTAAAGGGTGGAGGCTGAAGGGTGAAAAAGCAATTTGGCCCCCCAATTCTCCCTGTAAATTGTTGCAAATTTGATCCCAAACCTTTGGTTCCCCCTGCAGCTTCCCAAACCATGAGCCCAATGTTGGTCGGCCTGGGTTTAGTTCCAGCTTAGGAGAGATGGGGAACTTATGACGCCCTCATAAGAGCAAAGCTGAAGCCGGGCATCTCAGCCAACCTGCAGAGTTATCCCCAAACAGCAGAGGCCTGTTGGCAAAGGCTCCCTGTCTCACATTGACTACCCCCTTGCGGAAGGCCTCCCTGGCCAGGACCCCGGGGCCATCCACGGTCTTCCCATCGTCCTCTGGGCCCCAACTGGCGCTGTAGATGTCAATGTGCTGCGGGTGGAGGCTGAGTGACTGGGCCTCCACGATATCGTTCACGACGCCATCGAGCATCCTCACTCCTAGAAGGAGAACACAAAGAGGAGACGTTTTGGAAGTTTTACTTTTCGTACGTTCAAACATATTTGTTGTCAGCTGCTTCCAAAGCTCAGCCTGAGCAGAAAGACTGACTATAGCTCCAATAAAAATCATTGCAGCTCACCCAGCCAAGGACCACGCTACCTGAGGATTCTGGGAGTGGAAACTGAGTCATTGGGAGGGCATCACGTTGAGAAAAGCTCTCCAGTCCTCCTTTATTGCCCAGAATTTACAGACAAGGTTCGGGAGAAACCTCTCTGAAAATAACCAAGCTCAATGCTAGGAGCTACCCAGACTTTTATCAAAATGCCTTAAATTCGCTAAACCAATCCTGTTGGCATTATGGATTCCAGTTACAGGAGTTCAGATTCTCCCACACAGATCCAGAATCCGCTGGAAGGTACAAAACGGCCCCTTTTTTCGCAGCCAAGTATTTTCCACTTGTGCCTGTCAGGAAGCAGCGAACAGGCCAAGCCTACCGTAAAGCACAAAGAGGTCTCATACCACCAATTTTTGCCCTGTATGCGATACCGGCTCCACACACATGGTTGCTAGCAGTAGCAGCGACCTCTCCTGCGCAGCGTGTTCCGTGCCTGAAAGAAAGGGCGGGAGGGGGGGCAGGGATTGATTGCAGCTGGCTATCGCAGCTGGCCAAAGCCTGCCTTCCTGCCGCCAAGCCCCAGACTAACTTCTCCAAGCCACAGATTTCAGATCAGGCTTCAAAGGGGGATGCACACAATCCCTGAGGAAAGCCAGTGTCTTTCCACAAGCTTGTCCCTGAGTACATCTGCAAGCTAACCTCTGTTTGCTGTACCGGAGAAACAATTACAATTTAGCAATGGGTTTGGGGATGGGTCAACACAAAAAACAAAAACGCTGGCATGCATAAATGCAAAGACAAGAGTCGCTGAAGAGGAACCGGATGCTTGGAAAAATCAAAGGCTACTGAAAAAGAGGCCCGCCGAAAACGGTGGGGTAGAGGAGTGCAGAGAGATCCTTGGAGAAGGAACACAAGAACCAGTAACTAGATGAAAACTCAGCCTTGGGGAAGAAGAAGGGGGAAGAAGAAAACTCCAGATATCCCTGCCTTGATTCAGTCCAGTATAAAAGGGGACAGAGAAATACTATGTCAGACCTTCAACATTTTGTTATTCTACCTCAGCGTTTCTCAACCTTGGCCACTTGAAAATGGCTGGCTGGGGAATTCTGGGAGCTGAAGTCCATCCATCTTCAAGTGGCCAAGATTGAGAAACGCTATTCTACTTGATAACAGTAGAGTTCCAGTAGGCCTTGCATCATCTGTTCCCCGACCTGGCCTACCTCAAACAAAGGGTTCACAGGTGGGTTAGATACCCTCACGGACAACACAGGCAAGATTTTACAGGAAGTCCCAGAAGCAAAAGGAGGTCCACTGGATTAGGAAGGGTCAGAAGCAACAGAAGGGCTGAACAACCAGAAAAGCTGACCACAGAGAATCCCTCCCAATCCTATTATTCTTGATTCTAGGAAATGGGGGATGTGACAAACAAACTGTCATTCTGAGAAACCTCCTAAAACAGGGGCAGGCAAACTGACTGTAACTTCAGACTACAACTCCCACAACCCTTTCTCACTGACCATGTTAGCCAGGAGAAAAGGGAGGTAAAATCTCCGAGATCTGGAAGACTCTGGGCAACCCTCCCACCAGTGAAAACCCACCTGTTCTCATTCCACGTGTTGTATCGTGGCTGAGGGTCTGGGTCGTTGTCATTAAAGTCATAACTTGCCATAGGATCCTGAAAGGAGACAGATCATACTTGCAGAAAGATGGAAGCTCTAAACAGGCTTTGGGAGAGTTTTATCATTTGGACTTTAGGAGAAAGAGAAATAAATGCAGAGACCTAGAAGGATTTGGGGGCCATTCTTTGGGGGAGGGGTTGCTGATTCTTGGGGAAGAATCCAAATAGAGGATTGGTGGCTATACCATACAGCAGTGTTGCTCAACCTCAGCAACTGTAAGATATATGGACTTCAACTCCCAGAATTCCCTAGCAGCATGAGATCAGCGGTATCTAAATTTGAAATATGGGCAGTATCTAAATTTGAAAGATAAATAAATAAATTAACAGAGGTACAGTTTTGCATATTACAGAGTTTTATATCCCAAACCTGAAGGGCTACTTACAGAATAATCTAAGGAACAAGGGACTGCTGAGGCTTGAGCCACTGACAAAACTTGTAGAAAATGTCCGCCTTCCAAAAAAACATAAGGCTGTTATGGTGTTAAAAGCCACCCCCCCCCCCATATACATGGCGGCTGCATTCAGTACCAAACCTATGAGATACCTCCCCTACAAGGGAACTGCTGAAAGCGCCCTTGTAATAAAACTTTCACGGCCAACTGAATTGACCTGAGTGACAAGAGGGGAGGAATCAGACAAGGACTACTGGCCCAGTAAACCAAATTGTCAATATTTACTGGCCATATCTCAAAGACAGTACAGCTAGCAGGCTGACCTAGTGGGAAGGGAGAAATAATAATAATGTCACACGGATGGGTTTATCAAATTACACTGTAATTTCCACTGGACCTGCCTTTTTCTTTGTCTTGTCTTAGGAATGTAGGAGACCAAAGGTATATAAGTTGTGGTTCTGCTTTTGATCAGGGCTGCTTAGCAAGATGCTAATACTTCGCTCAGAGTGGGCCATTTGTTGTTTGCATGCTAATAAAATTGTGTTGTATCTTCAAAGCGATTTGATTGCTTTAGGGGAGCCCAGTTTGGGCCACAACGCTGTCATGCAGACGACAGGATGGATCTGCTCTCGTTTGCTCCAGAGGAACAGAAACAATGGCATATATGTCAGAAGCCATCACATGTTAGTGGAGCATTTGAGATCCTAACGGTGAGTGCGATCCTGCCGTGTAAGAATCCTCCATTCTGCAGGGCCGGGTTTGTGCAAGTATTTAAACAGAGCCTAGAGAACCATTTGGAGGGTCAGGGAATGCTGCAATCGCAAGACCCTCCTGTTGAGCGCAGGGGTGGGCTGACAGCCACTACCAAGATGCTTCCCCTCCTGAAATATTTCTAGCACGGCAGGTCCACTCTGGAAACAGTTTTGAAACTCCAAACACTGGGAAGACTTTTGGATATGCAGAGTGTTTCGTGAACCTTTGCTTCAACTAAGGCATCCTTCCCCAACCTGCCCCCCCACCCCCCATGTTTTAGGCCTCCCAGAATTTGCAATCAGCCTGGGGACTGCACACACCACCTGGAAAGATCCCCCAGCACACCTGGAGGCCTGCAGTTGGCCGAAGACTGCATTAAGGTCCTTTCCCCCTCCCAGTCTCCTTTCTACATCCATCTCCATGAGGTAGGGGCGTACTTACATAGTTTGCCACAAGGTCCGGATGGTTCTTCTCAATCCCATCGTCTAAAATGCTCACCACCACACCTAAGCCAGTATAACCCTGGCTCCACGCTGTGAGGACATTGAGGTCTGGAATGATATCGTTGTTCTACGACAGAAAAGAACAGATTGGGGACTCCGGGGGGTGGGGATAAGATTCAGGGGTGGCCTTTGAGTTCAGCAATCCTTTCAAGAACCCAAAAGTTCCAGATGGAAAGCAAGTCTTGGGCAACCAGAATGCTAACAGATAGGAGGGTGTTTCTCAACCTCAGCAACTTTAAGAGGTGTAGACTTCAACTCCCAGAATTCCCTAGCCAACAAAACACTGGGATAGGGCATATAAGCCATAAAAGCAGCAGAGTTTGGAGACACATTGACAAAAAGCAGAATAGAGCAGGGAGGCAGACTACAAGACATACTGTGGATTATTGGAGCTGGGGGGGGGGAAACACCCCTATGCACAGACTCACTGTTGTCTCAAAGTGGGGTGTCTGCCTGTCTTTGTGATCCAATGGAAGTTATACTAATTCTTCAGGGATCTTCTTCTTGAGCACAACCCCATCAAAGAACCTGATGGCGCCAGTTGAAGGGCATACGATTTGCACACCAACAACCCCAGGGGTTACAGCCTGGGAAGGCCGCCATCCCACATTAAGGGAGACCTTCTCATCCCCCAGGTTTAGCAGAGATCATGAGGTTCTGCAGAGGAAGCCCCTGGATCCTTCCAGATCGACACAGGAGGAGGTCTAACCTTCCACAGGGGGCTGCAAGTCTCAGAAAGAAGGCACTGAGGGTCGGGGGGAGCAGGGCACCAATCCTCTCCTTTCTTGCCCCACTCACCATATACCACTGTTTATGGAACCACGGATCAGTGGGGACAACTGTGGCCGTTCTCTTTGTTCGCCTCTTCAGCGTCTGCTGTTCAAACCACGGGATCTAGAGCCAAAACCATCCAGGTTAAACCAAACTAAACTGTCTGTTTGTTTAATGGCTTCTGTTGTTTAGTTTGGGGTAAGGTGGGAACCTGCAGGTCCCCAGCTGCTGGGCTCAGATTTCTACCCACCCCAATACCAAAACTGGCAGGCTGGGATGTCCAGCCACAATTGCAAGACTGCATTTCCCACGCTCTTTCCTGGATGCCTATCACTACTGTTCACAACAGCCGTGAAAAGGACACAACTCATGTGGCGTAAGACATAAAATCTGTCAGGTGCAAAACCACCGGGTCTGTTTAGTCCTTGGCTGTGCGGCTCTTTGGCTACTTCCTAAAAAGGAAAATAAATCTATCTATCTAATTTCTATAGCCACCCATCTCAGCAAGTGACTTTCCCCAGCATAACTCTCACAACGTTCTCTTTAGCAAGATTTATTGAGACAGAAGGGATATTAGTTTTGTGTGCTGCCAGGGCTGCTGTTAACGGTATCGGCAGCTAGGTACGTCTTCTAAAATAAATAAGTAATATTCTATTTTATGGGACTGTGCCCACTCTGACCTGTACGGCAACTCAGCCCCCAAACTGCCTTTCTTTTTTTCATAGAGCGTCTGTCCAGACATAACCATTTCCTTTTCGTCAGGATCTTTGGTAGCTGCCTAAACTGGAAGTGATTCTTTCCAAGCGCAATTCCCACAGAGTTCTCTTTAGCAAGATATGGGGAGAGGGACAGCATGGGGCTGCAAGAATTCCAGCAACTAAACCATTTCCCCTTTAAAACCAACACAGCTCCAAGTGCTTTAGGGCAGAGACTTTCCGATTTTCTAACAGCTTTCTTATGGTTGGCGAAGAGGCCTGTCTCTTTACGTGTAAGGGGGGGGGGGCTTGCTGACAGCTGTTTATATAACAGTCCCCAGACTCTACATCAGTGTTTCTCAACCTCGGCAACTTTAAGAAGTGTGGACTTCAACTCCCAGAATT